ATTTCATTTAAAAAATTCTGATCTTCAGCCACTAAATTGCATTCATACCCCTCTATTTGGGTTGGGCCCCCAAAATAGAAAAACAGTGCTCTGATAGACTCTAAACTCATTCAAGATAGGATTATTATATGTCAATTGTCTGTATCTGTTCCCTACGTCTAGTAGTAATTATTGAGACCCAAGAAAGTTAAGCAACTTGCACAAAGATGCACTTGCCATCAATGATAAAAGGCCCCTCAAGGCAAATAATTCATTACACAAATTCAGGATATTTGTGGCTTAACACTGAAAGCTAGAGGGTCTTCCAAGACAGACACCACTTCACCAGAAATTGATGGAGAAATTTTTATTTTTTGTGAGGAAGATTGTCCCTGAGCTAACATCTGTGCCAATCTTTCTCTATTTTTTGTACGTGGGATGCCACCACAGCATGGCTTGATGAGAGGCGTATAGGTCCATGCCCAGATCTGAACCCACGAACCCCAGACTGCTGAAGCAGAGCTATCAAAGTTAACCACTATACTACTGGGCTGGCCCGAAGAGAAATTTTTAAAATATTGTGCTGACTTCATCATTGATGAAGGTTTGGCCCTTTACCCACCATAGCCCTATGACCAATCCTGCCTGTTTGCCTAGGATGACAAGGCAAATCTTAGTGATCATCACTTCCCTATTACCAATAATAGTCACCCCTCCAGAGTGTTAAAAAGATACCCATATTTTTGACAAAACATTTTAAATCCTCCATGGAGGAGAGCTATATAAATGCCGATTAATGCTAAATATATTATATAGAACACACATACTTCAATATCTAATACACATTAACACTAGCTTTCTAACAACCAGAAGCCTAAGACTTATTTGGAGAAAATACTCACTCAGGAAAATAAAACCTGAATCCACGGCCTTTTTCTCTTCAGTGTGCTCATGCAGCACATGGTTTTTTATAGGTGCTTTTAAATGTACACTATAGTTTCAAGACAATCCAGATAAGCATCTTCACTAAAATACACAACACCATAAATCATCTCAGTGACAGTGCTCCAATTTAACATCTTGGGGATTTCCTCCCCTTCTTCATCATTTATTTGCCAATATTTCCTTGTTATGAATATCCCCCTGGTGACTTTCCCTGGCAGTCACAGCTGTGCTACCTACTGTGTCTACCTTGACTACAAATAACACCAAATCTTAAAAAAGCAAGCCCTTGAGACAATACGTATAGTTAGAAAGGAAGCCTTGCTGCGGACTGAATTCCTGGTGACTCCATTCAGGCTCTCGACTTTAAATGGACAAACCTCAGTCTCTCTGCAGCTAGTAATTTCACACATGTGAAACTGGCTTAATTACAAATGAACAACAGTTGGCTGCAGTCTCCAATTACTTGAATGGTCAACAATCAACGGCTGCTTTAATACAGTCCTTAAAGCACCCCCTTCTTATCCAGCAAAAGGCTTCTTCAAAGTATCCATGAATCACAGAAAAAGCCACAAACTCGCCAACAGATTACAGAAACTTGACCACCAGGAGCCACAATAAGTATAACTCACAGATAACAAGGATTTTTAAAAAATAATAATCAGAAACAATTTTGCATTATAATTAATCCGATTCTAATGAAGAAAATACTACTATCTAGGCATCAGAATATCAAGAAATAAAGCCAGAGATAAATAAGTTGCTGAGATACAGAGAAGAGACCCAGCTACATCCGGTGCCCACTTTCCACCCATTTCAGAGAGCAGCCTTCATGGGCTCCAGAATTTCCTGATCACTTATAAAATGGAAACCATGAAAGAAAATGCTCTACAACCAACTGGAGGCGTAAGTGAAAGCAGAACTCACCAGCTTGTATTCAGAAAGGAGTTTTAAGGAAAAAGGGTACTTTTTTTTCAATAATGAAGCTCTACTACAAAAGAAGTTAAGAGTTTGAAGACAAAAACACACCCAAGTATATTTTCAAAGTATATCCAGGAAGGCTAATGCCTTCAGTGAAAATCCATCTACCTTACTTTGCATGTTCTATAGGGGAATTTAATTAATTAATTAAAGCTTAATGTGATTCAATCAATATTCCATAACTTTTCTGGAAAGCACAAATTTTATCCTTTAGGGGAAGACTCCAACTTAGACTACCGTTTTAACAAAACAAAAAATAAAAACTTTCTTCCTAGCAAAAGCAACACAAGTCAAGCGAAGATATATTAAAATGCCTTTCTCCCTGAGCAGAGTGTTTACTTCAGTGATAGCAACAACACCTCGTTACCAACAGTGCAGATTCTGTTAAGTAATGGACAAAGCAAATGGCAGCCAAGGCAGAGGACTCAACTTCAATTTAACTGTCCTGTAAGGTACATAGTAATTAGCTGCAAAGCTCTGAAATCTTAGCTAGCATGTTAAGTCTGCTACATGACAGTATAATTTGACTTCTTAAAGGATTATGCAAATTACAACTCATCATTCCATTACAGGATTGAAAAAAAGTGACAGCTAATTTATACATAACACACCT